AGTGCCCCACCTGTTGCTTTTACTCCCCCCCAGCAGAGCTGAAGAGCGCAGGTCTCTCAATTGTTTTTGTTTTAGCTGTAGTGATAGATAAGGGGCTATAGCTCCTTGAGGCTTTTGTTTGTATTTTTCTTACGGGTAAACGACTCTGACCGAGCCTATTTTTCATGTGTTTATTTCCATCTGTGTACCTTCTGTTGAAACGTCTCCTGAATTTTTTTTTCTATTTTCTAACTGGATTGTTTGAACATTAAGCAAAAGAGAATACTTACTTCATAAGCAAGAGAAACTCGGGAGGCTGCTTGTTGACATTGTTACTGTTTAAATGGAGATGGAGAAGCCAGAATGACATGTTTGGATTTTACTCAGATTCAAACATTGTAGTAGTGTTGGGATGATGGACATGAAAGGGAGGGAGGGGAAAGAGAAAAATGGTTCAAGGACACAGAGGAGAAGATGAGGGTAGAAAATGTAGGTGGCGCAAAGAGAAGTCTGTTTTCATCGAGTGCGGTTCTAGGAGGTGATGGGTTCCGGATCTTGTGGGAATGGACCTGTCTTAGCGGCCCTGGTCCATCATTCATTGGTAGCAGCTTGTGACGAGGATATTGTCAGTGTAGGTGGATTTCAGATCACAACACAGCAGCCAGGGCCCCTGCTGGCAACTGAAGTCTATTTTTTTTTTTTTTTTTGTGGTGCGATTATTATCTGTACTCAGCGTGATCTCCGGCTGTACATTTTATTTTATTTTATTTTTTATTTATTTATTAAATATTTCTGTCTCTTCCCCACCTCCGCCTCCCCTTTCCCTCCCCCTCCCCCAGTCAAGTCCCCCTCCCTCGTCAGCCCAAAGAGCAATCAGGGCTCTCCGTCCCGTGGGAAGTCCAAGGAAAACCCTCCTCCGTCCAGGTCTCGTAAGGTGAACATCCAAACAGCCTAGGCTCCCACAAAGCCAATACATGCAATAGGATCAAAAACCCATTGCCATTGTTCTTGATGTCTCAGTAGTCCTCATTGTCCGCTATGTTCAGTGAGACCTGTTTTAACCCAGGCTTTTTCAGACCCAGGTCAACTGGCCTTGGTGAGTTCCCGATAGAGCATCTCCATTGTCTCAGTGTGTGGGTGCACCCCTCGCGGTCCTGAGTTCCTTGCTCATGTTCGCTCTCCTTCTGCTCATGATTTGGACCTTGAGATTTCAGTCCGGTGCTCCAGTGTGGGTCTCTGTCTCTGTCTTCTTTCATCGCCTGATGAAGGTTAATATTCAGGAGGATGCCTATATGTTTTTCTTTGGGTTCTCCTTCTTATTTAGCTTCACTAAGAACCCGAATTATAGGCTCAATGTCCTTTATTTATGGCTAGAAACCAAATATGAGTGAGTACATCCCATGTTCCTCTTTTTGGGTCTGGCTTACCTCACTCAGGATAGTGTTTTCTATTTCCATCCATTTGCCTGCAAACTTCAAGAAGTCCTTGTTTTTTTACTGCTGAGTAGTACTCTAATATGTATATATTCCATACTTTCTTCATCCATTCTTCAATTGAAGGGCATCTAGGTTGTTTCCAGGTTCTGGCTATTACAAACAATGCTGCTATGAACATAGTAGAGCATATATTTTTGTTGTGTGATAAGGCCTCTCTTGGGTATATTCCCAAGAGTGGTATTGCTGGGTCCATGGGTAGGTTGATCCCAAATTTTCTGAGAAACCGCCACACTGCTTTCCAGAGTGGTTGTACAAGTTTGCATTCCCACCAGCAATGGATAAGTGTACCCCTTTCTCCACAACCTCTCCAGCATAGGCTATCATTGGTGTTTTTGATTTTAGCCATTCTGACAGGCCTAAGATGGTATCTTAAAGTTGTCTTGATTTGCATTTCCCTGATCGCTAAGGAAGTTGAGCATGACCTTAGGTGTCTTTTGGCCATTTGAACTTCTTCTGTTGAGAGATCTCTGTTCAGCTCAGTGCCCCATTTTATAATTGGGTTGATTAGCCTTTTACAGTCTATGAAGTCTATTTTCCCTACAGGTGTAGAGTATAGCTACTTCATGTCAACTAAGATGGAGCAAAGCCAGAAGTCGGTGGCCATCAGCTGTGCTCAGCACCACCGCAGCTCACCTCATGGCAACAGTGTGCCCATCTTCTCCTTACCTTCCATTCTACCTTCCCCTCTTGTGTTGTTTGCTGTGACAACCGAGACGCGTCTCCCTCCCTGTTTTTACTAGTCACCTAGGAGTCATTCCGTCTCTCGGGGTCATTGATAGAAGGATAAGTTCTGTGTCCTGTTAAATAAGCCTTTCACGTCACTGCATCGTTAACCAGCGCTCTTCCAGTTCCCATGTTCAAACATGCTCAGGATCCAGTCCAAGGAGCACTTTTGTGGCACACACTACCTAATTACAACTCTGTGGATATATAGTCTTTTACTCTGCTGGGTTCAGCATGGCCCCAGCTCATTGTACTAATATGGACCCCCGGTTAGCAGCCTGACAGCCAGGAGAGTTCTGGAGGCATATTCCAAGGGGTGGGAGGAGTATATGCTGTATTGTGGGCAAAGGTCTCTGCAGCACCATGTAGCACAGAAATGCTGTCTCAGTCAAGAACTGTGCAGGTTAGGGATCCTCAGGAAATGTACTAGCCAGATACAGCCTTCCTATATTTCAGGATCCCAGGTACCCTTGACTCTGTGATAACTCCCTTAACTGTCCCACTTTAACTATCCCTGCCATTCAAATGAAGAATGACCCTGTGTACGCTACCAGAGAGGCTCACATAGAGCCATTAACTGTGGCTAGCACTCCTGAGGGTAAATACAGGCATGAAGACCTGAGTTCAGATCTCAGCATGAACAACAAAAGCACAAAAAGCTAAGCTTCTCCACATGTTCCCATTGCCGGGGCAGAGTGAAGAGAGACAGCAGAGGGAAAAAGATCACTAGGTCTTGTTGACCACCTGCCTAGCCCAAGTGGCAGATCCAGGTTTGCTGAGAGACACTGTCTCAATGAAAGCAAGGAGGATGCCTAATATACTCCCCTAGCTCTGAGTATTTTCATGGACACTGGTACTGCATTTGCATATATACCATAATATTTATATATAAAAATAAGCAATAATTCCATGCTAGGCTTCACATATGAAGAACTTGCAGTTCTTGTCTTTATGGGGTTGGGTTCCTCACTTAATACGCTTTCCAGTTCCGCCCATTTTTCTACAAATTTCATTTTTATTCATAGATGAATAAAATTTCACTCTGTATATGTACCGCATTTTCCTTATCCACCAGCGGATGGTCATCTGAGCTGGTTGCATTTCCTTGCTGTTACTGAAGAGAGCTGCAATAAGCATGGGTGTGCAAGTGTCTGCCAGAATAAGGACTCCTTTGGGTGTGCAAGTGTCTGTCAGAATAAGGACTCCTTTGGGTGTGCAAGTGTCTGTCAGAATAAGGACTCCCTTGGTTTATTTTGTGTTTTTTTTTTTAAAGTATATGTCCATTGTTTAAAGGAGTAGGTTTCACAATGATGTTTTGTTTTGTTACTGTCTCTAATTTCAATGTGTCTTAACTATATTTGCCAACCGCGTACATGTTAGGCATGTTAACTTTGAGGTGCCTAGAAACAAAGAATTCGGCTATCAGCACAGAAATGGATCTTAGAGATGTAAATTTGTGAGTCATTGATATGATTACTGAGACTGGAATAAGTATAGGAATTAAATGATAGAATACCAACTTCTAGAGGAGCTAGACAAAAATCAGGCTACAAAATGGGAAACAAGGAGTGAAGGAAGGGAAAAGAACTGAGCAGACGATTTCGGGAGGGGCAGTTGAGAGGGTTAGGTGTGGCTGCTTTGGGTGGGTACGAGTGCTGGGACCTCACAGGGACTCAGCACTGCCACACAGTGGGCAGTGCAATGCGAAATGGCCAGGGAGTGAACACTTGGACCTGCTGCTTGCTGGGTTTAGGGCTCCCTCCCACACCAATGTTTTCTGTTCTCCTTGCATACATAATGTTGCAGCATGCTTCCGGCTATGATAAATTCCTTTTCCACAGAACCAAACACAATTGCCCCAGGATCTGTAGCTGTGAGAGATTTGGGCAGATACTTGGGTTACTAGTGTGAGCAGACAGGGAGTTGGGGGATAGAGAATGGCATCAGAAGGCATCGAGACTAATGTAGAACATGTTCCAGAGCATAGCAGCTCCTGTCTAATACTAAGTTAGTTACCTTGCAAATGGAAGAATGAGTGCTATCAATTTTTAGTACTTATTTTTTAATCTATCACTGTCTTCTCTACCACTGCATTTTATAATATAGAACACAATGGTGAGCAGTCTACAAACTGTTTTGAGGATCAGGAAAACAGATGAGTTCTTTCAATACAAGTTTCTGCATTCAGAAAAAAAAAAAAAAGACAAATTTGTGTGCCCAAAATGTGTTTGAGGTGTTTGCAATGTGCTTTTCTCCTGAGCTCTTAAACTTCATATTCTAAAAAAAAAAAAAAAAAAAAAAAATCATTGGAAAGAGCACAAATATTTTTTAAAAATTAGAAATAATTTGTTTTGTTCTTTCAAGTTAGCTGAGAATATTTTTTAAAACTTACAAATGTGAAATTTGATTTTAACTTTTATCTAAGAACCACCAAAGTGCAGTTATATAACGTATCAGTTACTCTTATCCTGCTATATTCTTTATATTCACATAAGTTTCTCTTAATAAAAAAAATAAAGTGAAAATTATGAGTAATTCACGTCTAAGTTTTCATCTCTCCAGACCTGGCTGGCTATGTCTCCCTTGAGCTCCTCTTGTCCAGAAGTCACACCCAGGGCCTCCCATGCTTCTGTGTTTAGCTCCTCTCCAGGGTAAGAACATGTCATAAATCAGAAAATCCTTGTGGAAAGTATTTCCCCCATCAGAAGGATGCATATAATACCAAAAAAATACACAAAAAAAAACCACTTTTCCCTTTTATATGGCTTTGTTCACAACTAACGTATTTCCCCTTTATCACAGGTACCGGAGATTTGAAAAGGCCTTCCTCTTGGCTGTTGACATTGGTGCTCGTGACCTGTTTATGGTAAGTCATTGCCAGAGATGATTTTTGTGTCTTCAGTTCTAAGGCTGAGTAAGTTGTCAGCTTTTGTGACCATTAAAAGGGATTAGTGTCATTTGTGGCCTTAGACACATGGCGGGAAGGCATTATTCCACCGTGGCTCGCAGCACTGCCCTCATGAGCGGCTCAATAGCTATCTCGTATCTCTTGGCTTGGTGACATTTTCCTTGCCGGGGCCAAAGGATCTTTTATGTTTTCAAAGCATTTATAATTCTTGAACTTTTCTCCCCATGAACCTTGATGTGCAGAATTGACACCTTTCCATCTATTAAGTCTAAATGTCTTTCTAATCCATGCTCTGAGCAAGCTTGAAGCTCCAGAAGCCAGGACGCAGGAGGAAATGTGCCCCCGAGATCTGAACGTACTGTTGGGCCCCCGGGTTCCAGTGGGAAGTCAGAAGTGATGAGTGCGTTCCTTGTGTTTGTTCAACTAGAGAGGAAAGTGGATCCACAGGTGCTGAGTCCACTGTACTCTTGCTCCGCTATTTGTCACTTGGCTAGTGGTGACACTGCCCAGCTTCTTACAGACCCTGCCTACTGTCGTGCTCCTGTCTGAGGTGTAATTTAATTACACTCTCTCCTCCTCCTCCTTGCTCCAAACCCTCTGATCTCCCCCATATCCCCACCCTGATGCCTTTCATGAGAACTTTCACCACCACCCCCCCCCAGGTCAAATGAACAAAGTAGCAAATCTGTTGTTATCACAGAAGCACTAAGACAAAGGTTTGCACTGTTCTTTTGCACTGTGAAGATACCAAGTGTGGCTGTTTCCTATGTAGAGTTCATCACCTTAGCTCATTTGTCTTTCAGTTGAATTTGGTTTTAAAATTCTAAATTATAGGTGATAGAATTTAAATTTCATATTCTCAAATCAATTGTACACACATTAATCATGAAAAATAGTCATTACTTTCAAAAGGATAAATGTAATATTTTCCATCCTCACTTTGCTCTCTACTTGGGCAGGCATGTGAGTGTGTTGACACTCTGTGCTTCAGATAGCCAGTGGAGAGCTTAGATTCCAGTCTAACTGACCCTTCTTCCTGCCTCTGTTGCTGCGTATTCAAACAGAGGGATAGCATCCTCCTCGTTCCCCTTCCTCTCCCATTCCCCACTGCTTCCCACTCCTCTTCCTCCTCCTTCAACAGGGTCTCAGTATGTAGCCCTGGCTGGCCTGGAAGTCCCTCTGTAGATCTCTTGAGTCCTAGAATTAAAGGTGTTGGCCTCTAGGCCTGGCCCCCAGTTCTTCTGTTATGCCGAGAGTCTCAAGGGTGGGAAGGCAGCTGAGAGCTATAATGTTAGAATTGTAATGATTTTTGCTGGGCAAAATTTCTCCATAAATATTATATCCTGTAGTTTATTCTTTGATTAATTAATAGAAATAATTATCAAAACCACCTTCTAAACTATTTTCATATTTGTTTCAGCGTTTTAATCTGTTTAACCCAGTACCAATTTAGAGAAACCTTTGTGTTCCTTCAAATCTCCTTAATCCAAGAGCTTTTCTACTGACGGGCTAAAATAGAGGAGAGGATGACTAGACGCTCAGTTTGGAAAAGTACAGACGTTCTTCGGAGTGCACATCTTCACTCCTCATCTAGACAGCGCCTTTAGCCAAGGTCTATTTTAAGGCATCTCAAAATACAGAGTGTTGAGGCCTCGCCGCTCTGTTTAAGTTTATGAAAGTACTGTGTACATTTGAGACTTGGTGTTGAAATTATCTAAAAGAATTTATCATGTTTTCATATAGATTGATTCTTACTGTTTGAATTTCATCTGGCCAGAGGTTCATAGCCTATATTCTAAGAAATATTACCTCTTTTGAAAAGTGAAAGTTTATAAAATAAGCAGGATTATCTCTACTTGCAAAGGATTTATTATCTTTAAGCCATCTCTTCCTTAAAGATTAAAAATAATACCAAAGAGACCCAAAAAAAAAAAAAAAGTACCTCTGGCTGGGGACACAGCTCGGTCGGTATGTGTTTGTCAAGCATGCGCAAGGCCTGGGTTGATCTCCACAACTCATAAACCAGGTGTGGGGGCACAATCCTGTAATCCCACTGCTCGTGAGGTAGAGCCGAGGACCAGACGCCAAGGTCATCCCTGGTGACACAGCAGTTGGGAGGCCCATCTGAGCTATAGGAGACTGTCTCAAAGCAACAGCGCCACCACCAACGAAAAGCACCAGAGAGCCTGAAAACAATGCTTTTCGCTTTAGCATCTGCTGGTGGTGAACAGGTGAAGGAATACAAAGACGAGGGAGGTGATGTGTCTGGAAAACAGGCAGCTGAGACCAGAGGGGCCCAGGTGTGAACTAAGGCATTGGAGTTCATCTTTAAAGCTGTAGGAACCTGATGAAGGGTTTGGATCGAAAGAGTGATGCCGTCATAAGTTTGATCAGGAGTCTGCACGCCTTTTCTGGAAAAGGACTAGGTAGTAACTATCTCAAGATGCAAGCCTCATAGTTACTACACAGCTAGTCAGCACTGCCATCGTAGAGGGAAGAAAGCTGCCACAGTGGACAGACAGACAGTGTGGGTGTGTTCCAATAAAGCTTCATTGACCACAGTTTGAATACAATAAAAATTTCAAATATTGTACACACACAAAACAAAAAACCAAAACTGTGATCCCTGTGTCCCTCTCCCCCCGCTCCAGTGTTTTAAACTAGAAAAAAAAACAGTCTCCAGTAGCATTTGGCTGCATTTCATAGTTCCCACCCCTCGTTTAGAGGGACCCAAGGCTGCAGTGCGGAGAGGAAGGGGGAAGAGCCGGCTTTCAAGGTGAAGGTTAGAGTGGAAGAGGCCGTTTCAGGTCCATCTCACACCAGTGCTTCAGGGGCTGTTGATTCAGTTCCAGACTCACCTATTGGCTGTGTGGGTTTCTTATAGTTTACCTAATGCTGTTTGCTTCCATTTTGTTGTTTGTAAGATGGTAACAATGCATAAATTGCCAAAGTATAAAATAGGTTAACATATTTGAAGGGACTGGCATACTGTAATAACTTGGTAACTAGGGTTTCTAGCATGTTTTTCTATTATTCACCTTTCAAGTCTTTGTATAGTATTTAATTTTAAGGTAGAGGTGTGTGTGTGTGTGTGTGTGTGTGTGTGTGTGTGTGTGTGTGTGACTAGTAATCTGGGCTTCATACAACTTTTGAAATTTGTATGTCTCTATTTGATAGCTTAGAATAATTTAAGACAGGCTTGTTTCGTAGTCTGCTCTTTTACCTACAATATCTTAGAAGATAGATTGATTTGTGTACTTTAATTAATCTACAGTAATGGTAGCATTTGAAACCACTGCAAAAAGTTTCAGTAAGTCATGTTGATGGTCCAGAATTCTTCATAACAAAGAGGGAATATGCTGATATAAATAAATAACCAGTCAAGAGTAAAGTACTGGAACTAAAACCCAGCACAGACCAGAACACGGCATCATTGGTGGTGAAACCATGGATGAGGGCTCTCAAGGCAGTTCAGGGAGTGAACATCACTGAGGTTTTCTTGAGACTCTTGTCAGAAGGTAGTTGACTATACATGGACGAATATTTTTATGGACTTTCTTTGTCTTGCATTGATCCATACTTCTGTCTTTGTGCCAGGATCATGTGACTTTCTTTGTACGGACTCATAGTTTTGGAATTAGATTGCTTTATATACTGAGTTCTTTGGGATTGCATGTGAATTTTAGGATGCATTTCTCTTGTTTCTGCGCAGACATATCACTGAAGCATTGATAGAATTGCGTTGGTCACTTAGGTACAACTGATATCTTTTTGTTGCTCTTTTTTTGACGTTTCTCCACATGTGTGCTGCATACTGAGCCCTTTCCTCATCCCTTTCCCATTTCTTTTTTCTACTTTCACATCATACACACACACACACGTACATACACAGACATACACACACACACACACACGTATCTTTATGTATCTCTATAAAATCTCGGAACCACAGATGAGAGGAAAGCATAATTTGTCTTTCTGAATTTAGCATACTTCAGTTGACATATCTGTTTCCCTGCAAACAATGCGACTTCTTTCTGCATGGTCTTGAAGGTTGATGATCCTTTCTTCTACGTTGTGTTGTTGTTTGGTTTGTTGATTGGTTGATTCATTTTCAGAATTTCTGGTTCTTTTTCAGTGTCTGAATTCTTTACAGGATTTTTCCTTGATGTTTTAATTTTTTTTCTTCCACGTTACTGATTCTTTCATCTTCTTTAGTAGTTTTCTTGTCTAGGTCCTTGATTAATTTCATAACTGTCTTCAGGATTTTTTATTTGAGTCCTCTCTGTGGTCCCTGCTCCTCCTCCAGTGTGCAGGACTCTAACACTTCCACTTCTGACCACTTTTGTTCTCCATTATTGAGAAGTTGTCAGCTTAGGAGGGGTCTCAGTGGAATGCTGTCTCATGTTTTCTATTCTTTTGCTGGGTTTCGCATATCTGTTTGCATGTATGTGTCCTGTCCTCCAGTTTGTAGTACCCCTCTCCCGCAATCCTTTCCTCGTGTTTTTTGTTTTATTTCACATAAATCCTGATGGGTTCTCTTTGCTTAGAGCTATAATCGCAAGGAAAGCCAACTACAGTACCACTGTTAACAACTGCAGTGCTTTCACAGCAGCCTCAAGGTTTTTAAAGAAATGATAAACAAAGCGTTCGGGTGGGGTTCTTATTAGAAACAGAGCTGTCTGCAGAAGAGGAGCCGAGGACACAGGAGAACAAGGTGCTCTAAAACAGAGATGGAAGCAGCAGTCACAGGACATAGATGGGTCTGTGCCAGGACCTTTGCATGTAAATAAATCAAAGGTGACAGGATGGATGAATCATCAAAGGTCTACACCATGAGAAAAAATAAGTGAAGGTTTGGGAAAAGAGTTTAAACCAGAACTTAGATATTTACCAGATGAGAAGCATATGGATCAAGAGTCTTTTCATCTTACTAAATGTTTGAGATGTATATGTTT